AGAATCCATGATGCCATCTATCTGGAGCTCGGGCAGAAAAATAGGCCCACAAAATTAAAGATACAGCAGTACATTTCATTGTGCACATTAGGTGCTTTTTTAGTAATGTGTGCACCAAAACCCATCTTAAAGGGGTCATATGATGCTGCTAAAAAGAACATTATTTTATGTATTTGGTGTAATGAAATGTGTTTATGCGGTTTAAAGTTTAAAAAACACATTATTTTCCACATACTGTACATTATTGTTTCTCCTCTATGCCCCGCCTTTTTGAAACGCCTCGATTTTTACAAAGCTCATCGGTCTAAAAAAGCGAGGTGTGCTGTGATTGGCCAACTATTCAGTGCGTTGTGATTGGCCGAATACCTCAGAGAAAGGAAAAATTGAAATCGCATCATATGACCCCTTTAAGTGTTTGCTGCCAAAAAGATAATTTTTTTAGTTTCATCTGACCATAAAAGCCAGTCCCGTTTGAATGTCCAGTAGTGTCTGGCAAATTAATATGCTGGAGTTTGTTTTTGGATGAGAGCATTTTCTTTTCTTGATTTTTCTTGAAATCCTCCCAAACAGCATGTGGTGATGTAGGTGCTGTTTGATTTTTTTTTTAGGCCTTCTGACCCCGAGACTTAACTATTTTCTGCAATTCTCCAGCTGTGATCCTCGGAGAGTCCATGGAGCCACTCAAACTATCCTCCTTGCCTTGCTTTAAAACAATATAGACACGTCCTCTTCCAGGCAGATGTGTAACATTTTCTGTTTGGATTGGAAATTCTTAATTATTGCCCTGATGGTGGAAATGGGAATTTTCAATGCTTTAGATATTTTCTTACAGCCACTTTCTATTTTGTGAAGCTCAACAATCTTTTGATGCACATCAGAACTATATTCTTTGGTTTTACTCCATGATTAAGGGAATTTGGCCTTTGTTTTCCCTCATATTTATATTCCTGCGAAACAGGAAATCATAGCTGGACAATTGCATGTTCATAGCGACCCTGGTGTGCTAAAAATTGTAAATATAAATGGGAATATACTTCAGAGATATTTTACTCCTAATAATTTCTAGAGGTATCAATAATTGTAAAAGAGATATAGCAAAGCCTTTCAAAAATCTATACTTCCATTCATCGTTCTCTCTCATTCATCAGCTGCTGGTTCCTTTCATCATCTCACTGTTGTCTCTTCCTCACCTTAAGTGCCCCACTCAATCATTCTTAACACAACAGGATTCATGTGTTGGCATCTCATTTAACTGTGGTGAATAATTCAATAGCTCCAGAGAAAGCACCATGTGTTGTGCTTGATTGTGTGACTGATCCAGGAACGTTAAGATCTAAACTCCACCAGCCATCTGATGCACTTAACTTAAAAAACAAGTTTTCTGAAGACTTAACAATAAGGAAAATATAACCAACCAAATACAACATGACAATTAGTGCTGGGCGGTATACCGGTTCATACCGAATACCGGTGTTTATTTTTGTTATGATATGAATTTTTAAAATACCGCAACACCGGTGTATGTCGCTTAAACCACGTTCGGAACGCGACACTGTTTGAAAGGGGTCCCTTTTCACTGTTGCACTGTGGTGAGGGAACAGCTGTATGTGTTACTAAGCGTGAAAGTTCCGAAACTGAAGCTGTAGAACTAATAGAACGTGATGACACAGAAGAACTCATCCACAATATCCACATTGACCGCCACAAATATCCACCGGCCCCTGCCATCAGGTCCCGCGTCTCACACACACACACGAGCATGACTTTAGCACTAGATTTAACAACTTTCAGACCCTTTTAGCTGCTTTTTCCCATAGAATATATATACTGACAAACCTAGCGACTTTTTTGGATAAACCTTAGCTATGGTTCAGTTGGAAGATTTCACAATACAACAAATGTAGGCGCCATTAAATGGACAAATAGATCTCGCCTGGGGTTGAGCCTACATCGCTGTCTCAGGATGTTCAAACAAACAGAGTAATGCTGTAATAGCGCCAAACACAGGCTTCAAATTCAGCTAAAGCATCTGTCATTTAGATGTGTTGTAATGCAACCCTGAGTCAAAAAGCTCTGAGCCACAGCAGGTGTAAATGAGTGAGTTTGTATGAGAGGTAATGTTTGTGGATCACAAATCATAATCAAGATTACTGCTTTTCAGCAAATCAGTTATGACTACTGGACGACCAGGGACAATTAACTAAAAAAAAAAATTCAGTTGACATTTAGTCATCCTCATGTCAACCCGACGTGATTCTTGTGGAATGAATATCTCAAAGATCACAGATAAACTACCAAAGCTTTTCTGACTTAAATAAGGCAACATGAAAGGGGAAACAAGAATGGCTTAAAAAGGATAAATCTTCAGGCATATGCCTCCTACTCTTGAGATGAGACACAGCATTGCACCCATGAATGTGTTATGAATGTGTTACATGAGTGTGGGCAGTTCTGCACAAAACCAAAGACAGCATCAGAAACTCCATCCCACATTATTTATGAGGCGGTCAATACAGTTTAATCAACGTGCTACAATCTCACCTGTAACTCTGGCAGGAACATATGGTGGCATCGGCATACAGAGATAAGGAGTAGGACCGTTTTTTTACCTATTTATAAAACCATCTAATCTGTATTCGACAGAGCAGGGGATGCATTAGAAAATGAGCATGCAGACAAGTGAAGCCTGTGTGCCTCTTATTGTTGTCAGGCTAGTGCTGGTGCTTTAGTGACAACTTCCCTTTTTAATTGCATAAAACTCATTAGAACTCAAATTTCCTAACACTTAAACCAGTACATAATGTTTGCTAAGGTGAGCAACACTATTCATATACGAGTTAAATATTTGAGTATGAGCTTCATATTCTCCTATATGAGCCATAAAAGCATATATGATAATGAAACAGCCTAACACATGCAAACTTTGTATAGGTTCAATAAAACGTTCCATTAAAAAAAATGAGATTTTTCTGACTGTTATTTCATATGTCAGGTTTTTCAGGGTTAAGCATCAATTATCAAGAAAAAAAAGATCCCTTAGGTTTACAGCAGCTGTGTGAAAGTTACAGTGTTTCTCATCAAAAATGTATTTATTTTTTCCTGAAAGGGCAGTAAAAGGGCAAGTGCAGTCCCTGGGTGTTTCAGCATGAAACAGGCAGCGATAACCAATCTCCTCCCAGTAATGCTCTACTCAGACCTCCAGGTGAAAAGCAATCTATTTTAGGATAACAAGCTTCACTCTTCACAAAATACAGTACAGCGAAGCACCAAAACATATCTGTTATCAAAGGCACAAATTGCTGTATTTGACTTGTTCAATAACATCTACACAGAAAATAAAATCCAAACATGAGCTGCCTTTATTTGATGAACTGTGAAAACTAAAAGTGAAAACTTGTGCAAAGTGAATGCATTTGCATATATTGAAAACTACTGACAGTTCAAATGTGTCTCTAAATGCATCTATTGTTATTGAGCACAATACTGCTCCATGGATCTAAAAGCGACTAATTCTGCCATCCAAAGAAACTGTGGAGTATTTTAGATACTGTTCTATATTATATAAATTCAGAACTCGTCTCAAATTTGTTGTTTTCCTCTATGACAATTTCTTCAATTCTTCCTTAATTACGTGTAACAATACTGTCAATGTGTCATTCTACAGTGTGATTTCCAGATGACTTTTTCCACAAATGAAACTCAATCACCCTTCTTTATGTAATGTAAGTTCATAATACCTGCTATAACATTGTAAAATGTAAATGTAAACATTACTTAGAAATGAATAAATAAAAATGTAAACATTATTAAGAATTTACATAAAATCTAAATGAATTCACTTAACTCATGAAAAGATAATTCAGCAAAAAAATTTATAGTACAGATCATTATTTTTATGCTGTAAGAGACTTTCAGAACATTGCTGTTTGACGTTTTTTTCCCCCATCACGGCTGTGAAGTGTTTTCACACAGTCTCTTGCGTGAAACGGGGTATTGATGTCGAAAATTATCATTCTTTTTAGTGAATCGGTTCTTTTGAACGTTCGCCTGAACTAATTGTTTCAGGAACCGATTCAGTGATTCACTTCAGAATTCGGGGTGGGGGTTAGTGATTGTTTTAATGTCACGTAAGCACCATGTCAAGCGTATTTCTGGTTCTTAAAAACATGAACGCTTTGTTTGAGCTCCTCATGTTACCAACAAGTTTTGCATCAAAAGTGTCCCACTCCAACCAGGATAAATGCTTTTTACAAACACAATAACCGAATATCAACTACTGCCATTTTAATTACAGTAAACCCAACTGTGCTCCCAACCAACGCACACAAATTAAAACGAACATAAGATCAGTCGATAACTCATACTCGGTTCAGACTGATTCAGTCCTATTTGCGATTCCTTCAAAAGAACCGAAACAGACATCACTATGAAAGATCGCGTGCAGCTTTCTCGCTTTGTTCGGCTGCGCAGCACACAGATGGTAAGCGAAACTCAAAAACCCCAACTGACGGATTAATATTTTTTTCTCGAAATGTTTTAGAAAATTGTAAGCTCATAAAATGCATAAACAAATTAAAATATGACAATATCAAGGAATCCTTTTTATGTCACAAGGCTGACAAAGAAACATGATGTTGGAGTCGTGCAAGCACAAAGGGATGCAAACAGTTTTTCATCTTTAAAGAGTGACGTTACATAATTTATCTTCAATAAAATAATTAAAACAAAGACTATACAAATACAAAGGGACTTTGATTAAACACATATTGTCACGCTTTCATATTGAAAGCGTGTGTGGTTATGCGGGATTTAATCTAGGCTACTGTCCTCTAAAACAATGGGATTGGTTAATTTTTTTTCTCCACATCGTTAAATATTTTTGCAATTAACGCACATTCTGTAGGAAGTGTACATGCATGAATGCAAAGTGACCACTCAAAAAATGTATGTTTTGCCTCTACAACAGAGACACTAAATGGAAAATAAGGAACTATACTCACGTATGGGCGCAGCTTGCGATGCTGACAGGTTTGTGGTACACCTCCAGACAGATGGGACAAGAGAACTGGCTCTCCAGGCTTTCCCCAGGTGCGGCTGCTGCGGCTCCATTTTGCTGCTGATGCTGCCTGAGCTGAGCAGCAGACACAAAACTGCGGAACATCGCCATCATGAACACAGACCGCAGGATGAACTAATACTTCCGATGCAAATAGGATTCCGTGGTTTTAACGAATGTCTCGCAGGGAAAGTGTGATTTATACGACATTAGATACCGCATCTGCGATCTCCAACAGTGTTAACCAAGCAGGACACGCCGTTGTTCTTCTTCTTCTTCTTCTTCTTCTTTCCAGTTTAACGGCGGTTGGCATCCAGCTTATTGGTGCATTACCGCCCCCTTCTGCTCCGGAGTGTGGATCAGATAATAGTTATCTATTCCCATTTCCCCCTAAAACTTACACATCACTCACATTGTCCCCTCACATTAATATCCACACACACATCATACATCAAATCCTGCTTAAAACCCCTGCTTCCCTTAAAAAAGTAATCAATATTCTACTCTGTGCCCTATTTACTGTGCTTAGTAACCCTTGTAATGTGATTTCCTGCACTCCAATCTCCCTTAGTTTATTCTTCATTACCTGCCTCTGTGTTTCATATCTCTTACAAGTCATGATTATGTGCTCCACTGACTCCTCTTCTCGACATCCCTCACACAACCCTGTCTCGTGCTTCCCTATCATCTTTAGTGTTTTATTCAGTGAACAATGTCCCAACCTTAACCTAGTCATCACCGCATCTTCTCTATTTCCAATTTCCATCCTTTCCTCTTTAACATTTCTCTGAATTTGATATAAATGCCTCCCTTTCTCCTCTCTTTCCCACCTCTCTTGCCACCTTATATTGACTTTCTCCCATATTATGCATTTAACCTTATCGGAATCACTACTGCTTCTTTCCATGCAATTGGCAACACGCCGTTGTTCCAAAGAAGTAAACATTATATGGTAGCTTTAACCGAACGGTCTCGATCCCATTAGACCAACAAAATGATGGGAGTTGTAGTTTTTGCAGCGATCATTTTCCAGAGTTGCTGTTTAATAGAACTACATTTCCCAGATATTGCATCCATAGCAATTCCATGGATCATAGATAGATGGAGTCAACATGAATGTAGCGAATGTGACAAATAGGTCTACGTTGTCAATAAAAACAGGAACTAATAATATTTTTTGTATATGATAAAATAGTGGTTCAATTATTTTGAACATTACTTTTTGACTGAAAACGCTAACTCTTTTAATATACATTAAAGTCAAATGTCATACGAATGACACAACTGTTTAATGTCGATACACAAAATAAATAATTTTATAAATAATTGTACAAACAAACAAAAAAGATAATTACTTACAAACTTAAGACCCAGTGCGCTTGCTTTGCTGTTTTTCCAAATCAAGAAGTTGTTGAATGTATACATGGTATTTACCCATAAATATACAAATAAACATCATACATTAAGACAACAGATAACATTAAACCATTAATGTCAGACGATGTGGAAATAAAGCATAAAAATAGCGTAAATAACATCGAAGTAATCAAACGACACGCAAACATATGGGCGTGGTCACGGTACGTCATCAAAAGGAGTCAGGAAAATACACTAAACACACGCGTGAAAACAAGCTTGGGCCAGTATGTGGCAGTTAAACGATTCTCTTGGATAAGTATTGGGAGAATTGTTCACACCTATACAGGCTGATGAAAAGCTTCATATGGTTGGACCCGTTTTGTTATTGCACTTAGGTTGTGAATTTGAAGCGGTCGTGTCAAGTTGAAGAGGAATATAATGGTCTGGAGTGTAAGCAGGAGAAGATACCTGTGCCGACGTGAGTTGAATTGAACAACCGCTGTGTGACAACAATTATTTAAGAACCATGATGGTATTAAATGTTTTGGATATATATGATGATAATTATACCTTAATGATCACTGCCGATATGATTCTATAATTGTACCACTACCACAGTACTTTATAGTAAACATAATGTGCATAGTGTACCATGGTAAAGTGATGGTACTTTGATACACGGCGTGATACTGAATCACAACCATATTCTTGCACATTACCGTGGGACTAAAAAAATACTACAGTACTCCCGTGATTCACATTTTTGTTGTTCTTATTGACAAATTGCACAAACTTCATGTGTGACATATATTTCGGGCTTAACAGGAAATGTATTAAATGTAATGAGGGAACTGCTGTGCTCATCATTCGTGTCAATGATGCATTTTGCCGGTAGGCGATTCGTTAATCTTATCAATGTGTCACGTGCACTTAATTATATGATGCAGTCTCGTCAAAAAACGTGTCTATATGTTTACTAGGTCCTGCTTCAAGGAGTACTTCATACACAAATTGCGGGCCATGTTGGGAAAGAATCGTGTCATCTTTCCCCATGAGAAGGTAGATATAAAAAGTAATATAGAGATAGTATGTCTCTTGACTTCCTCAGTTTCAGTGGAATTGAAATGAGTCCCACATTATTTGAAAAACCTGAAAATATCAGGGAATTATTAATGATTAAGTGCATTAATTTTTTATAGTTATGTTCTGCTCCAAAATATTTTATCCCCAAGATTTTTTTGGAGTCACAGTGATGTTTAATTTGTTATTTTCAATTATTCAATTCAATTGGTTCACAAAATGGTCTGAAGGACTCATTAGCAAATCAAGATTATTTAAAAAAAATCCTAATCCAGTAATCACAAATGACTGAAAAGGACACATCAATGGGAATTCATTGGCCAAAAAGAGTGAGAAACCTGTAAATGGAGTTAAAATGCTTGAAAAGCATAAAATAAAACAATGCAAATGTATGGTTTCTCTCTTGAAGCTACATGCTTAGATTGTTGTCTGAATCATAATCCTTAGATCCTTCAACATCGACACTGGCCGCTCATTTCCTCAGTTTCACTTAAATGAGTTGTTTGTTCACTGGCCTTCACACTAATTGCTTTTCTTAGGTTCTTCTTGCTGTTTATGGTGGAACAGCCTCTTACTCGATGCTCTCACAAGTTCAAGAGGTAAATACACAGTTTTTTCTTGCTCTCCAGATGTTTTTCTGAAATAAAATTAGCCGTATTTGTGTAAGGTGGTGAAGTTAGAATTAGGAACACTGTAGCTTCTTTGCATATAATTCAAAGTGGTCTACCATCTCTAAATTGCTTGACCAGGATAATTTGACAGGTTGACAGTGACCATAAAAGCTTATAGTCTGATTGCTTTATCATACAGAACAAGCTAGAAACACGTAAAACAAGCTACAGTACCATCTTCCAGCAGTCTTTGCATTTCTAGTTTGGTTTAGTTCATTTGTAGATCATTTGTGTAGAGGACTCTGCATATTCACCCGAACACAAGCTGGCAGTAGAGAGGCTGTTCTCATCACTGAAGATACTCATAGCCAAATAGGATATGTTACAGACCTTAAGGTGGGTTTTACAGCAAACTTTTATTTTCTTTCCTTTTTGAGTGAGGCAGTAATCAAGCGCACTCTTCGTAAATCTGATTCATTTTAGCAAATTATTTGTTCAAAGAGCTAATTTCACTGAATAATTTCACAAAACCCTGTACAACATTTGACTACATTATGTACAAATACATATTTTTATACAAAGTTAAATAATTATTTTGTCACTATGCTTTTAATTCAGTTAATGCTCTTTTAGTTGTATTAAGTTTATTTGTTCACCTTTGATGCTTTTACACTTATAGAGATCCTTCTTGATTTTGAGCCATATAAATACAACTCTGAAACTATTTTAAATTGAGCAAAGTTGCTTGCCCAATGCAGCATCAGAAATGAAAAGCACAAAATGATGATGCACAGTTGCAATGTGATAAGAAGATTCTAGCGACAAACAGTTTTCCACACCAGACGCGTCACAGCTGCAAGACACTACTAAATCAATAACAAATCACAGCCAATCAGAAGAGCGTGCTGGCAGGCAGCGTTATACTTGTTTATTCACATGGAGTCCTTGAAGTTATTTTCAAGATCTGAGATAAATTATCCATTGTGCATGATTTTAATAGCCATAATGATAGTGACAATGATGTTCAAACTCAAATTAAATGATTTTAATATTTAAATTGACAAAACACAATCAGTACCTGAGCTTTTAGCTGCTCGTTGTGTATCGCTGTTGCTGGTTCAGACAAAAAGTCTGATTAACATGGAAAAGATAACTTTTATCATCACATCTGGTTAGGACACGGTGTAATACTTCATTCTAATGGGTCAGTTTCTGCATTCTGCTGTTATATAAATTTGTATAATAACTGTTAAGCTGTATTTTTCATCTTGTCCCATGTAACAATTTGTTTTCTCTTACATGTCTGTTGTTTTACTCCGCACTCTTTTCTTCTCTCATACTGGTAATATAATAATTTCAACTTAAATCAATATTTTTTTTGTCCATGTAGTTATTAATTTGGTAAGGGATCGTGTTCAGCCAGCTAGTCATTATCTCAAAATAAAACCATTTTTGGTGAAATGTTTTGCGATAATGACCAGCTGATTGTACATTATCACTTACTTAAGTGTAGCTAGTTTCTCAAAATATTTACTTGACTGTAGTTCAGCTACTTTAAAGGGTGGTTCATTGCGATTTCACGTTAGTTAGTGTGTAATGTTGCTGTTTGAGCATAAACAATATCTGCAAAGTTACGAAGCTTACGAAGCTATGCCAACGGAGATATCGTCTTTTAAAATTCTGGCAGTTTAATGCCTACAAAAACAGCTGGTAGGGACTACAATGAGTTACTTCCTGTGTTCGTGACATCACAAACCCAGATAAACCCCGCCCTCGGGAAAAGGCAGCAAAGGGGGCGAGGCCATGCTGCGCTGCTTTAGAGAAGAGGAAGAGAAAACTAGAGGTGCACATAAAAATCT